CCAAAGCTGTACCATGCTCGCCCCAAAAATATCAATGCCACATTTTAGACCAATCAATCATTTTCTGGGTGGGTTGAATTGCTTTCCAAGCACACATGAACAAGTCTCGTACAAACTAGATTAAATACGCACCCGTTAACACACCACGCACAATGTTCTGTGAGCATCTCCCTGTCATGTTTACTAAGTGTTCAGCATATAATCTTCTTATAGCTGCACAACAGCCCTTTAAAGTTGCAAAAAGCCGATGGATGCCAGACCTGGTTCGGCTAGCTGTCCCCGGTATGGACTCCCGATCAATACAATCCATCCTTCCATCCTTCCTCCAGGTCCTGTCTCATATCCTTTTCTCTTTCTCACCTCTAGTTTCCACCATGTCTCCTTTTTCCACTGTTTTTTGTGCACTTCCCTTTGTTTCCTCGCTCTCTTTAAGTTGTCAGCATGAAGCTAGCAGAGGCACAGCGGAGAGCTGGGTACACTGTGATGTAAGCTCGCCAGCTGTGGTGCATTTGTGGAAAGTGCCAGTGTGTATTAACGATGTTATTTCGGTTCCGCGTTTGAGGATCCGTTTGCCCAGTTGATCCAAAATAAATGTTATAGAAATGAAAGTCGGAGAAGAGAAGAAAGGGGTTTGATTTTCCGTGACCTCTTTTCTGAATGTTCACACCCCCCCCATTCACTATTTATCTACATGCTGTATGTTTAATGTCTTCATCCAACATCTCTATTAGCCCTCTGGAAGGATGGATGGATACATTTCTGTATTTCTTTCTCCTCCTCACACTTTATCTCACACTTTCTGCCTCTCACTTCCATGCCTCCTCTCCCTCTCACTTGCGTCAGCACTTCTGCTTTCTAATGAATATATGAATGAGATTAAAACAGAGAGAGAGAGACACACACACACACACACACACACACACACACACACACACATACAGTACATGTAGACACTTTTATTCCTTCTCCAGCCCAAAGCCTACAGCACACATAAACATTTTATCAATTCTATTTCAGCGATGACAATCTCCACTAAAACCATAATCGATGTTGCTTTTTTAAGACTATCATAGTTTTGAGTGGATTTTGCATTCACCAAACTTGAAATTGTAGAATAGTAAATGAAGTATAATGAGGCAGCCTTACAGCGCGAGACACCCTGCCTGTCTTTGATACTCTGCTTCAAATCAACCCCTTAACATCTCAAACAAGAAGTAAATAAATAATACAACTAACAAGCATTTTTTACCTCGAGCAAGAATCACATCCTTCCCTGTTCATAATGGAGGAGGAGTCTTGTTGCTTCAACACACTCACACACACACAGGGGGAAGTCTAGTTGTGTGTATCATAAACCATGTTTCTCAGAGCCAGAAGGTATAATTGGCCCTTAACTCACAGTGTAGATGCAGGATTACAGATAAAAGGTGGAGGGATAGATGGAAGGAATTGATAATAGTTCCAGGGGAAGCTCTAGGAAACCAATATATGTGAAGACAGAAGGAGAAGGAAACACAGATGTGCAGAGAAATACAGATGTTCTGAGGCAAAGGTGGACAAAGTGCAGATGTAAACCTTGTCCCCCCCTTCCTCTTTTTCTCCTTCCTTTTCCCTCTCACTCACTCTTTTCTTTCACTTCACAGTCGGCTCTCTGTTGCTATGGCGACTGTTCCTGCCGCTGAGGAAGAAAGGACACCTGGGGAGAGGAAGAGGAGACAGTGGAGGAACGAACCGAAAGATGAAGATGGATAGAGATGACGTGGATGCACACACTTCTGTGTAGATTCTAGATGGTGTTCGTGTGAGCACATTAATGCAACCGATGACCATTTGTACGTTTTTTTGACGTGTCATTTGTAAGCCATGATCTCTGTACAGTGCAAGATAAAAGCCTCCGTGTGTAATATAAAAGTGTTTAAAGTTTAGAGTACAAGAAAAATATTTCCTCTTTTTTTAACGTCAAGTAAAATATTTTTTCTGTTACAGGCAAGATTTTGTGACAACGTGGCGTTGAGCGACAGTTAAAACCCGATGAACAAATACTGCGTTTAAGTACTGCAACAAATCAGCAGGACCAATTTACAAGGGGATGAACTAACATATAGATGAAGACAAACGAAAACTAAATCTGTACAGCTGAACATTCAACCAACATACAGTTTGAACAGTTAATGATCATATCATATCATTTTTGGCTTCTTCTGGAAAGCCATATTGAAAATAAGATGACTCTACAGATCGTGATTTTGGGCGAGTACCTGCAATTGTAAATTTGGGTGAGAGACCGTAATGCATCGCTGCTGCGGATCAAACCCTTTATTACTTTAACGGAGAACTTTCCAGGCAATAGGCGCCTGTGATCCGGCCAAACAGGAAAATTCCCCTAAAAACTGCATGTAATCCAATAGTAGCTGCTGCTCTGTGTCCCGGCCCTTTATTTATTTCCATGGATGAGCTCTGCAAAACACTTCTGCAGTCCAAATAGGCTTTGAGTTAGTTGTTTTTTTATTCTGCCCCGTCGAGGCAGTCTTCTCCTGAACCTGTCACTCAACACCAACAACAACCGGTTACTTGATTATGCTTTTACTTTAACTAAGCACATAATCACATTAGCCCATTATCACAGTATGATGACAATAGCTACGTCTTACCCACGCTGTTGCTTTAATCAAATTATAGCTCAAATGTGTGAGCCACATTCACCCACACGTATCAACAACTTCTGTTTCATGTCTCCACAGCATGTATTAGGACAGCATCCCTATCAATAAACCCTGGGATCATGTTGTTTAGAAATTCATACATTTCTTAAAGAAAGGTTTTACTTTGGTTGTTGGGTTGCAGGAGTAAATGGAGTTAGATTTGGCGTTTACTCGCATAGTCTACATCCTTACAGTTTCCACAGGAAGTCAGAATGAAGACAACATCCTGGAATGTTGTTTGGAATTGCAAAATACTATTCAAAATAACAGATGTCATGAGGGAATATTCACACACCTCAGTAGTTTTCCCCCGTTCCGGTAAAAAAAAAGAAGAAAATGTCGACCTGTTGATGATTTTTCCAGCTATGTGGCACGTCATGACTTTAACATTTCTGACAACAGGTGACCAAACCGCTGATTGAAGTACGACCTCCTCATTTGGATGTTACTGTGATGTTTCCCTGGGAAGGAATCACACAGTGAGTTTACTTCGTTCAGCTGAGCTGAGACTGAAGAAATAGTTCCTTAGAAAAATGCCCAACTCGTCTCCGTGTTCTAATGTCCAACACAAAAAGCTTGCACACAACATGCGCTTCCTTCCCTGTTAACATAGTTGGGAGAAGTTCTGTACATGATACGTTTTTTTTGTGGCAAGAAAATTCCAAATGGGTAAAGTTGTTTAAGTATTTCTTTAAAGGGACGTTACTTCATATCACACGGTCTGGTTATTTAACAGGAATGGATTTTTAAGTATGACAGTGTGATATAAATTATGCAGATAGAGGCAATGATATATGTGTCAAAGAAATGGAGGGCTGTTAAAAAATGTACGATGATTCAATTTTGACCCTATGTGCAGTGTGAGGACACTGCTGAGGACGCCCATTTTCCACCAGTAACAATCAGTTTTCCTGCAAGTTCACGCGTCCGCTTCATCGTTCATCTTGAGTTGTTCAAAAAGGAATATCCTGGCATAGCCTACATTAAAGAATATAACCATACAGGAGCTACAAGACCGAATCAGACATCAGTGAAATGCTCAGGACAAAAAATCATCCAGAAGATTTTAAAATAAATTTGATCGCTCCAAAGTACAGGCAGCTAGATGCTGGTGGTAGATGAGTCTGAGATGCCACCTAGTGATTCTGATAGGACCACTTCAGTCAAACCCTTATATTCCTGACTCAGCGAACAGGGATGAGTAGGACTAGTTACCATGGAAACAATAGGCCGAGTGTGAGAGAGAGAGAAACACAATGAGGCTGCTACACATGAACGCCATGTACGCCTACAAAAACCTCCTCTACAAAATACAAACTGTGTATTTTAGCAATACAGATCGCAGTTTGATAATTACTCAGTTGTTAATTACGGCAAATATATATTATTGAGAAACCACATTTGTACCTTTAAGGAAAATGAAAATGATGACTTTTTGATGAGTTTTTCAAATGAACCTCTGGGTGAATAATGTCTCTTTTTGGTGATTGAGCGCAGCGTAGCTCCCAGGTGTTTTAAACCAAAAAGCTTATCTAAATGTTGGGCACTCCACATGGTGTCAGCGTTGACTCGTTGCCTTCACGGCTTGACGGATTTCCCGTTATCAACATACTGGTTTGTGTTTAAAAGTTTCTCCTGTGCCTACGCGACTCATGAGGTAAAACAAAAACGATCCATCAACTGCGTCTGCTGCCACAGCTGCAGCTTCAGTCTCACCGGAGTACCTGCGCGCTTCATCTCGTGGTGTAATCGCACGCCGGTCACAGAAATAAGGCAGAAGGACAGCAGGATGCCTTCCAATTACACACAAACGTTATTTCCATTAATCGGCAATCCCAGTCCAGTTCTTCTCCTTCTCTGATACAACAGGCAGAAGCACACAGGCAGTGATGATGGCCTACTTTGCCTCTGCTGGGCTCTCCTTGATGTTCTTACCCTTAGCATAACCAATCTCACTCCTCATGCCTGAACCTACCCATCTCAAAAAGTGATTTTAACGTGGGCCACTGATGATGCTGAGGAGCACAGTGCCTCACCTCAGTATGCCCCCACACCTCTCCAACATCCAAATCACACCCACTTCCAACAGACTTGTGCCGGTGCAGAGGTGAGAAAGTATGCGCAATTACTTTCAATCCTTTTTTGGGGTGTTTAACCGAGTGCAAAAACCATGAATACTTTCAAGGACGCTGTGCCATCAACCAGTTTGATGGCCGCATGGTCAGGGTGAGGATTAGGAAAGCTGCTGATATGGAGACCAAAACCCCCTCTGAGCTCCTCTCCCCCCTCGTTTCCTACCTGTGCTGTGGGCCAATGAAAGTTGAGGTGCCCACGTGTAAGGCGTCGGTCCAGTTGTCAGTCACCCTGAAGATCAGTGGTGGGCGGAGTTTATATCCCCAGGTGACGGCCTGTGGTTGGTCAGGTTCATCTCTGCCTCCTTGTAACCCCACCCACTGGGCCCCTGCAAGGCCTTATGGGTACCAAGCTCTGCTGAACATGTTCTTCTTTCGGGTTAGGCGATCGGTAGCAGTCGTCTCGATGAATCTTCTTGTGGCGTCTTCATGTAGGTTTCCTGTGCAACGAGGAAATAAAGAAAGGAATCACCTTTCTGTCAATCAGTTAACGCTTTGGTGGCTCCGTCTCCCGTGATGATAGTTGACATGAGAAAAAACTGCTGCATTTGTGGTAGTTACTGCAACCTTTTTTTTCATCTAAAAACTGTTTTTCAGCATTTGTTTGCTGCACCCTCTTTGGACACATGACAGCGATGGGCAAAATACAAAATGGCGATGGCTAAAATGGTGGACTTGATGCTTCCAAACTGTAGTCCATATAAATATAATTTAGCAATGCTCAAAATTCAATAAAAACGTTTTGCCTCGTGAAGAGTGCAACCCTGTTTGCCAGTTAAAAAGTAGAGGACTTGTCTCTTATCTCCATTTAAATAATCAGGATAACATGTCACAGTGTTAGGTTGATGCTTTTGTCACATTTGGGTAATAAAGTGACTTTTTGGAACAGAATACAACAGCAGTCTTCAGTTAAGAGTAAAATATTGGTTTGTGCTAATTATATTCTGCCCCTACATCACGTGGTTTCTTTTATGCACGCTCTTAACACCGTGATACAGTTTTCCAACACTGATCACTGCAAATAAAAGCCTTGTCGTGTGCATTGCAAATCCATTACACTCAGTAATTACACCAATTTATTATTGTCCTGTTCTGAAATAAAGGATTTTATTAAAAAATTAAAAAATGAATTCAAAACCTTTTTCATAACTAGGCTTCGCATTTTATTCACCCTGTACTTCATATTGGATCCACTGCAGTTCTATAGTATCTTTGTGTTGCATGCAATGCATTAGAATTTACCCTTTGAGTTCAACATAGATAAACAGATTTAGATATTGTATCAGATATATTTACAACGGTATTGCATTTTTTGTCACAACTTGGTCTCAGCCCTTCAAATTCTGATATTCTTGATCACAACACGTATGAACTCCATTGAAGACACGGCATGTGTGGTCATACAACACGATGGCGTTATTTCATAGAAGAACAGATTGGGCATATTATCCAAAGTGCACTATTTACATTACATTGTTGCGTAGTACGACCCAGACTACATACCGCGTGTTTCCTTTCACACGCGTGAAGAGCTCCATGACTCCTCGTTCCCTCAGCACAGAACGTACATAGCATTCTCCCTTGTTTACCGTCACCCTGTTTATTAACACTAAACACAAACTAAATCGTTACAGTCCACAAATGAAGGGGCATTATGCGTCTGTAAAGTAAAATAAGTTTCCCCTTGCGGTGAAAAAGCAACAATGAGATAAAAAACACAGCTTCCTGTCTGTGTGTTTGTTTGTCTGTCCAAGCAGTCAGTCCAAGTGACACCGTGTGGGGATGTTCATCACCATGGCAATGCAGCGTGAGTCACAGGGATGTTCGTTATGGAGACAAAGGGCTGTGTTGAATGTATGATTATGATTAGAGAGAGAGGGTTAGCCAAGATACCCTCACACATACACACACACACACACACACACGCACAAGTATGGTATATAAATAAACTGTATCAAATAGAGACATTCTAAGCGTCTCCTTTCCAACAGGCAATTCCACACTTGTCAATTATTCCTCCTCTTCCAAAACAAAAGCCTCTTTGCGGCCTAAAATTGCATTCTGTGTACTCGCTCTCTCTTTGGTATCTCTCTTATCAGCCATATTGTTCTGTTGTTTCTATTTGTTTTATATTATTTCTTTTAGCCTGAGGGCTTTGATTTTTTAATTCATGCTGGTAACTCTCCTAGTTTAGGCTTTATTTTACACACAATGAAATCTCCTACATGCATTTAACAGTATGTATCATTAGTGATAAAACATATCTTAATCTGGTATTGAAGCCAAATGGACTGAATTGTAAAAGTTTAGAAAATAAACAGTGTTTGTCGATTTTGAGAGAACATTTTTTTATGCTTACAGTATTTATCATCCCATTCACCACTACGGATGCATGTGTTTACTTTTGATAAAGTTATTTGTTACAGGTGTGACAATGGAAAGAGGATGTTGCATATGCACAGGGACCATGATTCGTGTCTGACACAATCCTGACTGACGTGACACCTACTGGGGGGACGAGCCTTTAATGGCATGCGATCAACGCAGAAGATAAACGTAACTATGGGACACCTTTGCTGCAGTGAAGCAAGCATCATTCCTGAACATGTCCCTAAAATCCCCTCCTACGTTTTACACTGAATAGAGGGAGGAACAGACAAATGAATGGAAGAAAGTTGCTCAGTTGTTCTTCACAATTTTAAAAGTATTTTTCCTTCTGAATTCTCTGAATGCCGATTCCTTTTCACATCCACAGACTTTTGGCATCCAGTTCTTATCTTTGAAAAAAAGGAACAAAGCTGCTGTCTGTACGTCGAGGCATAATGAAACGATCAGGGTGTGAGGACTGATTGGTAATAAAATTGGTTGCTTTCAAAATAACCACAATAATGTCTTTAGATAGTCTGTAACAACCATATCCTCATAACACCCTCGCTAATTGCTTTAACTTTGGAGCTGATATTCTGAAATTTCTGAATATAAGTCCAAGTGCAACAATAAAATGTGTAATTAACTCTCTCAACCCTCCTCTGAACTCGTTCACTAGCCTCCTCCTCCTTTCCTCTCCTTCCATCCCGTCCGGTCTGCCGAACAGTGTGGGAGCGAAGGGTAAATTAATAAAGGAGCGAAAGTGGAGCACAACTCCCTCAGGTCCGCCATTACTGGGACGCTGACACAGAGAAACACACAAAGTGACAACACAATCTACATAATGACCCCATGACACACACACAAACACGATCTACAATGCAAGAAGCCACATGCATTCTTCTCATGCTTTACTGGGGCCGATGGGATGGGAAGCGGAGACGCAGCGAGAAAACAATCCGTACATCCATCAGCTGCATGCTTAGATTAGAAAGGGTTAAGGAGGAGGAAGAGGAGCTGGGAGGGCAGGAGCCACGTGAGGAGGGATGCATGTAGAGAGTGGCCCCAGGCTATGGAGCTCACAGTGGTCCCATACTTCCATGTGATTCCTCCCCTCGTCTCCTTTCCGCCTTTCTTTCCCCCTCCCTGGTCTTAAGTCCTTTCATCTCCGCTTGCCTTTCTTCTCTATCTCTCGCGTCTCCTTTCTTTTTAATTTAACAATGATGCCATACTCTCCTTCACTTTAATGTCTCCCCTCTTTTCCTTTTATCTCTGCTCTACACTCCTTGTTCCCTTCCGCGGGGTGAAACGTTTACAGCGTATTGCATGTTGACTACAACAAACTGGAGCATGTTATTTTGGGTCCTCCCGTACAGTTACACACAGTTACCGTGCTGCGTACAAAGCCACCGGCAAAATCAGCCTGAAGTGGTTCAAAAAAACAAGAAAACTATTTATAGAAATGTGGTGAACCTTTTAACAAGGTATTGACAATCAGGAAGGAAAGTGTTGTTTATTAGTGGCGTAAAGCTGTTATTCAGCAAGGAATAAAGATCGTCCCTCGGGACTTTCTTTGTGAATCGGTGTTGTAATGGCCGTGGTCAGGCGCCGGGGATTACGCCAGAAGCTCACCAGATTTTCAGATTTGGCAACCAGCTCTCTCTCTCTACTCCATCCATCTTTCTTCTCTCTCTGTCCACCTCTTTATTTTCATTTATTTAGAGGAAGAACGGGGCGCTTGCATGACATCAATTGAGGGAATTACTGTGAATCTCAACTAAAGTATGAATGAATGAATGACAAAAAGTGTATGACAGGGTTACAAAACCTTCAAGTAGTTTATCATCTAATCTACTGTTTAGAGTAAATGAAAGGTATATCACTGCCAAAAAAATGAAGATTTGAGGAGGCAAAGCAGACACTAATTACACAAAGCAGCCTTTGTTTTTAATTGTTAAAATGAAAAACAGTAGTCCAGTAGTACTTTGAAACTGACACCATCCAAAACTAGCTCACCACCCCTGTTAACAGAAAATAATCTGAATCTCTCCAAACCCTTTTGTGAGCACAAGCAAGTACAACATCCTGCAGGCCTTAGATACGAGACCGAACTAAATATTAACACATTTGTTTGAACAATAATATGACAACGGGTTTTCACCTCGGCTGATGGACACGACATATGACGCGACACGTATAAACATTTGCCTCCTAAAATAGAGTAGCGGATTGTATTGTCAGTCTGGAAGTCTAGAAACACTGTAGATAGACTGAAATGTTTTACTGGCTCGGGGTCAGGTATGGTTGGCATTAAATGAGGCTTTGCTGACCAACTATAAACTTCAAATGTCAAAGGCTCAATCGAACAGTGCAACTATGTATGATTTGACACGAGCACATGTGCCCTCTAGTGGTGGAAGAAATACTCACATCATGTATTTAAGTATTGACACCCAGTGAAAGTCCTGCATTACTGCATTCACTTCAGCAAATGTACAACGCGCCAGCATCAAGTACAAAAAGTTAAAAAGTACTCATTCTGTATAATGAGTATGTATCAATAATAGTTAAAAAATAATCTGTACCATAACAAGCAATTTAACGTAACTTTGCAAAAGAAAATATAGTGGAGTAAAAGTAAAAAAATAGGTTTCCAAGATGTAATGGACTTAACTATTTACTATTTACTTACTGTTGGAATCCTCTTATCATTACATTTTAGGGACTTCGTAATAGAAGATCAAGGAGTGTGTGTGTAGTTTGTCCATGAGAACAGATATAAGTCTGTCTTGACTCCGCATAGTGGCAGAAACTGGAACAAGAATCTAACTAAATGGAAAACACAGCAGAGAAAAAACAAAATCTATCTGAGCTAAAGGTTACAACGACTAAATATGAATAAAATACAATAGAACCAGACTTCACGGGTATCTATGAGGGATTATATATTTTCTCACTTCGTCTCTCCTCTCATGAATTAAAGTTGCGATTGACTCCCAGAAAAAAAGAGAAAAATCCCCAAACCAGAGGAGAGGCAGCACAATGTAATGAAATCAGTGGGGAGAAATAATGC